GGACCCTAATTATATAATTGCTTGGGTTAAAAGAGTTAGCTGTGACAGTAGGACCTTGTTTTGACAGAAGGTTTGCAGGTGTTCACAGCATACCTCCAATTAGGCATGTGTGCATCTGATAACTTTATCATATTACTGTTTTGCACTCGGTATAATCTCACGGGCTGCAGTTGGCTAATGAGCAGCATGCACATACGCAATAGCTGAACATGGCACATTCAGAAATGGTAATTTTTGCCTTATACGAGGATTTGTCAGTCAAGAAAACATAAAGTATTAAACATATATTTCTCTGCTGGAAGCTTAAGGAGCCCTGCATTCCTCAGTATCAAGTGTATGGAAGTACAAGCATCCTTACCCTCGTTCCATAGGCAGGCTATACTCATCGCAGTCCCAGGCATTAGCATGAGGAGGAGACAGAGCTTCTCCCCAGCTTACTGCATTATGCTTTGGGATCTTTGGGGCCCGCGATCCCTTCTTTTGGTTTTGACTCCCTGAAAAAGTGAAAAGTAAACATGAAGGTAAAAGCAGACTTGGAGTTTGCCTCATTAATTTGAAACGCTGTGCGGTGTAGGTGTTGGCCTTACCTGAGGTGCTGCTGCTGCCTCTGTCTGAACTGTGGTGTGAGCCTCCCGTGCTGTGATCTCGGGTTTGGTTGTAGGGAATAGTTTTAGGATGCACCATTCCTTCACCACCTTGCAGATGATCTGAGGACAAGGCAGCATGCAAATATATTAATTGTAACATCTTTTTTTTCTTTAAAAGTGGTGTGCATGAAATGTCCCCCCTCCCCTACCTTTGTTGTTTTGCTCAATCAGGTTGTACTGCATCTGTGCTGCCATCTCCTTCGGTATTGGAGGCAGATTGGGGGGCTGTTTCCAGCACGGTATGTCCATAGGCTCCACTATAGAGCCACCGGCGGCTGCCTTGTTCTTAATGCTGGCCTGTATGAGCTGTGTGGTGGCATATGGAATGGGCTCATATGTGGCTGTTGAGTCTCCTCCCGGACTTGCGTAGCACAAGTTGGAGTTGTTGAACGTTTTAATCTCATTGAGCTTGTTGGATAGGTTCACATCGCTGTATATGGCTGTCTCAGAACCAAGCTGTCCCCCCTGTTTGTTTTCTGGATGGTTTCCATAGTTGGCAATGCAGTCAGCTGCATACATGAAACAAAGCAGCACATGATCACAGCGAGAACACAGGAAGACACGGACATGTAGCATCGCTGTAAGACATTTGATTATTATTAGTTCTACAACATGTATCTCATACGCCTCTACCTGAGCACAGTCCTGCACTAACCTGGTCGGCTGTATGTTGTCATGTTGCTGTCACTGGTGCCGTTGCCATTGTTGCAGCAGTTAATGCTACAGTCCTTGTGATTGGCACAGGCATTCGGCCAATTGTCTGGCAGCCACAACTGGTTCAGAGGTTCACCCATGCTGAGAAGGCCAGGTCTGCAACAAGGAGGACCACAGCGCTGTCAATCAAAACCTGTCATCCTCATAAATCAGTCATGACTGAGCACGGTCAGGCTGCACACAGTCACATTTAGAGCAGGAAGACATCTCCCCCTAGTGTTCCCACCATGTAAGTGCATCTCTCCTGCTAGACTTTATATAACACAAAGGGACAAAAATACCACTCACCTGCCAGCACTGCACACAGATTCTCCTCTTTGATATGCGACTGCAAAGAGAAGCAGAAAAAAACGTTCAATCTTGATGAGCTGTCAAACAGAGGAAGTGCCAAAGGCAGAGACAACCATGAAAGGCAGGTAAGGAGTCTGAGCAAAAGTCTAAAGTCAAAAGTCTGCACTTACCTCAATACAATGCTGCGATCCATAGGATACAAAGTCTGACTGTCTGCTTTAATTTGCATGAAGACAACACAGATGACTGCCTGCTCCTTTATCCATCTCAACATAACTCCACTGCTTATTTAGAGGCCTTGTTTGAGCTGGATCCTGCTCCAATACCAGTAAAACATGAAATAATCTGTATTTTTCCTGTAGAATACATTCCATATTTTCCTTATTCAATCCGTTAAATCTAACCAACTGAACTAGTGGGTTTGATACACAATCAGTCAGCAGATGATTATGAAAAAGTGCATCGTTGCTTTATTATAAACTGTACAACGTCCTGTTTAGGCAGCAGCATCTGTTAACTCAGTTCCTACTTCATCAGAAGAACTTTTTAATTTCTTTCAGTTCTAGCACTTATCCTGGATGGTATTTTACTTCAGTTAATTTCTCTCGATTGTGTTTTTATTTGCTGTAATCTATTTTAAGACATGGAAAAGGTTTTTAGGTACCACTTGTTTATTATTCTAGCATTGTGCAGCTTTTAAGTGGTGCTTTCATATCTTCCCATTTCCCAAAAGCCAATTAAATTGGATTACTGCATTGCAAACACCAGTTTGTATTCTCCTCAAAGAAAGGGGATTCATCTCAGTATGTTTGGTTGCATAAAGTACAATATCTAATCAACAAAAATGTACTTGCCATAAATATAAAATATTACAAATATTAGCAGATGAGGCATACAGTACATACCTGTCGGTGTAAAGGTGAACGACGGGACTGTAGGGATAAACAAAGGAGAGGAAAAGGTGTCAAATCAGTGCTTACTACACTTTATACTACAATATTAAAGTGTAAAATGCTGCTATAGTAAATATAGTTTTTAGACTGTGGAGTTTGTTGTGTGTCTGCATGTACTCTCTGCTATGTGATGGACGTCTCTTCATATAAAAACCTGATGTGTACAACATTTAAATAAGCACATGCCACCTGTGCCACTGGCGCCTCAGTCTTTGACATGTGTCCAGGTGAAGGTTAATGAGGGTGACAGGCAACACGAGAGGCAAAGGAGTGGGGGGGAATAACAGCAATATTGTGGCAGACATGGAAATGGCAGGTTGACAGGCCTGTGCTTCTAAGAACTGTGCTGCGTTGAGGAAATGACACCCTACAAATAAGCGATTAAAGGTCAGCCTTTGAATGTCTGCATGGTCTCAAATGCAAATTTGTCTGTGAAGTCTTTGTGTCAAAGGAAGATTAGAGCGGAGCATCTTTCACCCTTTGATGTGATCTGCTTATCTGCCTCTGAAAATATTCCTTAATATCACTGAAATGACGACTGGCGTTTAGCACGATGGCAGCGTGTCTGGGCTTCACCCCTTCCTCAATCGTAATGACCTTCAAATGTACTCACAGTAGCAGCATCATACCCTGTTTTGCACATATGCCCATAAACATTCATCTGTGCATCTATGTATAGATTTAACAGAGAAGCACACACCCTTGCGGATGCCAGTGTATGTGCTGCTGAGGCCGCTTCTCTTCTTGCGGTGCCGGTAGAGCCACACGCTGAAAATCATCAGAACCAGCCAGCAGGTGGCGCCAATGCCGGCGATAAATGCGGGCTGCTTCATCACATCTGAGATCTGAGACAATGTGTCTCTCTCCTCACTGATATCCATCATCTGGCCTGTAGAGTCTGATCAATAACCGCAGAGAGAGAGAGAGAGAATTCTAACATTATGCAGAAAAACAACAGTAATTATCTGCAGAAAGAATGAATGAAAATCTCTGTGGTTTCAAAAAATGCTAATGGAGTAGCAGAGATACAACAGCATTGTAGAAAAACAGAAAATGTGAAAAGTTAATTAACAACGGGTTACGCACAGCAAGATGCTTCATTAAAATTTTTACTACAAAGGAGGCTTTGAAGCATTACAGAAGTTCCTATCTTAAGATGCTGTCACTTTTTCAAAACCATTTTTTTATGACAGCTCACTAACTGAAAAAATCCCTTCCCGCTTTTACCTAATTGAAAGAAAGCAACATCGCTCTTTACTCCAGGTCCAGCCCCGTTGCTTGCTGCAACCTCCACACTGTAGCGAATTCCTGGTGCCAGACTGGAAATGAGCACGGAGAAGGTGGAGCCATCCACCGACTGGTTCACATGGTAGCGACTCTCATTACCCAGGCACCAGATCTGTGGAGAGAAAGTGAGGAGGAGATGAGATGAGATGACAGTGATTGCCCGGGGGACACATCCAACAACACAAGAAGCATCAACAGCCTCACAAAGATACGATTTACATTTTAGCTGAAATACAAATGATTCAGAGCTTAGGAGACGGCGGGAGTCGTCTTGTTTTTACCTTGTATTCCTGAATGACTCCAGCCTCTTCTGTTTGTGGAGGTGGTTTCCAGGAAACAAGGATGGCAGTCCCATTGGCATCGCTCTTTGTGACTGTAACACCCTGGGGTGCCCTGCTAGGGGCTAAGGCAACAAAACAAGCAGACGTGGAGTAAATCTCATTAGATATGCTGATGTACACTGAAAAAAAGCCACACCTGGCCTTTGTATTGCCATTCAAACTTACAAAAAATGGAAAGAAAAAAGTTCCACCACCATTTTCTCTTTGATATTTATAGCCACTGCGGAACAAAACTTCACCTTCTTCCAATGTCCTGACCACCTTCACTTCGCTGTCAGCTCCCTGGAACTCATCAAAGAAGGGGCGCACTTTGAACTCGTAGATGGATCCTTTCTTCAGCTGACTGATCACCACCCCGTCCTCCCGCAGGGCACGTACCTCCAGGACATTCCACTGCGCCTCGGGCTGGCCGTGCTCAGCAGACGCCCTGTAAAGCACCTTGTAACCCTGGATGTATGGGGACTGCTGCTCGACCTAGTGGAGATGCAGAGGTAAAGCATAAATGTCACACCGCACGACAGCAGGACCCTCTCTGATCACGAGCAGCTAAAACATCTGGGTTTGAATGGAAAAGATATGTGAATATACTGTGGTAACGCAGGCCTGAGGTTCACAATAACATCTGCATGTGAGTCACAACAACAGCATACAGGAGGTTAGAGTCTCATTTTGTGTGAGAGTGAAAACCCTGCTGGAAATATCTGTTATCTCAATTAATTCCTTTTTTTTTCTTCAGGGTGATACAGATTAACATTTCCTCATCTCTGTAAATTCTGACTGTGAACCACAATATGAGGTCATTAATAGTTTCCACTAGACATGGTACTTGGTGAAATTAAGCCAGGAGAAGACTAAGCATTTTCCATTCAAACCACCTTATTATGACAAAGGATGCCTTAAAATATATCCGAAGGAGGCGTCCACACATCGACACATAAAAATCCTGCTTATTCATACATCAGTGCAACACAAACGAGTGAAAAATTAAAGGAAAAAATGAACGCTTGACCCATACAGTGAGGTGATCTGGTGGCTCTGTTTTGCTAAGGGGGCATCAAGCTGGCATGTTTGGGTACATTTGTCCCTTTCGGGAAAAAAAAGGGGGTCACTGCAAATCAGCACAAAACAGTTCAGTGTGATCACCTTTATCCTGTGATTAAACATGTCTGCCCTGATGGGAGTGGTGTCTTCCTGTATGAGAATGCCCCAGCCCATAGGACGTGAGGGGTCACTGAACGGTTTCATGAGTATAAAAATGGCCTTCACAGTCACCAGATCTCAACCCAGGAGCAGCTATGTGAGATTTTGGGCAGGTGTATTAGACAGCCCTCTCCATCACTATCATCAAAACACCAAATGAAGGAATATCATTTAAACGAAAGGCGTTCATCCCTTCAGTAGAGCACTGGAGAATCACTGCCGAGGCACATTGAAGCTGCTCTGGTGGCACATGGTGACGTAACACCTTATTAAGATGCTCTATCTTCCTTTAATTTGTCACCCGCATATTAATTCACTTGTGTGTGCTGTAGATTTATTCTCTATGAATAAACATGTAGAGAAAAAAAATCTAACTGTGTAATGTAATCTTTAAAACAC